AGTACCAGAAAGAAGAATTGTTGCAAGAAAATATTTGGTGCCTCTAATGAGGCATTTACAATCATTTTAATCTGTGCCCCTTTGTTTAGTGCTTTTATTATGAGTGCTATACTAAAACCCCGGAGGTAGGGAGAGGCTTCCTTCTAGAGGCAAAGGAATGAGTAATGTGGAGAAACTACTTACCTATTTGGTAAAAGGGATAGAGATATCATTTGTGTATAGGTATTTTAAATATGAAAATTAATTTCAGAATATTCCGTGCATATAATGTTATGTAAGATTTTCAAGTGATTCTCTTAGAGGCATTTGGGGTTTTTTGAGTCTCGTAAATATTTCCAGGAAGGAAGTAAACTTGGAGGAAGAAAGGAAGATTGCAGATTAAATGCTCCTAATTAGACAGCAGTTACAGCTTGAGTAATCAAAATTCTTTGAGGATAGTTATAGCTTTTTGATGGGCTTTCAGTACTACTTGGCTTGTTATAAAGCCTCAGTCAGCAGCTGCTGTGTGCAGTATCACTTTTATGTACTGGTTCCTTGCTCTGCCTGAGCCATGTGGATTCTTGGTGAGAGATTGCCACTTGAAGTTGTAAGCTTAGCTCTTAGGTTTTTTTTGAGGAACTTCTGGAAATCCATTTGCCAGCAACCTTTGGGCTTTCGTGATTGATGTGATGATGAGCCTTAGTAGACCCAACACCTTCCTGTGGTGGCCGTGGTGTTATCTATACTTCCTGACTTGCAAGCTGGCTTTGGTCGTAAGAACATATAAGTACATAAACTCAATGCTGTTGCTACTTTGTGCATATAAAGCTTGATTTCAGGGTCATTAGTAGCTTTTTATAGGACATTGCCTGAAGCATCAGTTTAAGGTTCAGGCATAAAGGCTTAGTGCTTTCTTTTCAAAATGGTAGCAGGATGTGGAGAATAATAGAAGTCCCATATGATTTAGAGATTAAATGGAGTGATCTCACAGCATAGGAGTTTCATATGTCGGTCTCTACTGAAGTAATTGCAGCATTTTAACATTTTTTTTTCTCTTTAAGATAACGTGTTCTATGAGTTAAGTACTCTCACCAGCAGAGTTCTAAATTGACTGTGTTTTTACTGTTTAGTATTTTGATGGACTTTGATCCTTTGCCACATTGGCAGTCTTAACTATGAAAGTAACCTGATAAATGACTAACATCAGTTTCTTTCTCTGTCTCCCTTTTCTCTTCACTTAGTGGTCCACAACAACTACATAGTATAGATAAAATGTTGATTTGGCTTTTTTAAAAAAAAAAAAAGCTTCTGAACTGACTAGCTGCTTCAATATTAGTTCAGCATCAGGTTGAAATTTCACCTTAAATTTGTAATACACTACACCAGTCTGTAAAACAGAAGACTTTGGGCTGTGCTGCATAATTACGGAAACTCAATAGTTTCTGTTGTCCAGACTTGCAATTTAGTCTGACTAATGGTGAACAATTGGTGTTTAGCAGTGATGGCACTATGTTTTAAAGTTCTGGTATAGCTTATATGTAGGGTTTCTGCACTGTGTGCACCTGAGCATCTTTATATGCTCAGATTAGAAAACACTAGTTTTTACAGAAGTATCTTCCTCACTCTAATCTGAAGTGTGGCTCCTTGTTTTGTTACTTAATAAGCACCACCATATTTTCTTTTTTTCTTTTTTTTATGGCTTTCATCTAGGCCAGATGGATGGAAGTGCTTAGTGTAACTCTGGTTCTTGGCCCTAGAACTAAATTTCAATTAAGAATCAGTCTTGTAAAAGCCAGAAAGACTAATGTTTTAAAAAGTAGCACGCTTTAGAAGGAATTCTAACAGCCCCTTTGAGTTTGGAGGTATGTAGCCTCAATTTTCTTCAAACTGCATTCATCAGCAGCGGGAAAAAGTAAGATACATCAGAACAGCCTAAAAGCAGATATAAGCTGAACTGTAGCATGATTTTGACAATATAGTCACAACTGCTTGTTTCCCATACTGTAGGTGGATGGACTTTCCACTTATCTTTCCATTGCAGGTGATAGAGCATGAGTCTCAGTTCTCTTGCCTTTCAGGACCTGAGTGCAGTGGAATAAGTACTGTAAATTGTGGAGGATTTCTTTGCTTCCTCAAAACAGATACTGAACTTCCCAAAGTGTGAAGTAGTAGAGATTTGGATTTCAACTTCGCATGTGTAAATGTGTCTGCTTAGGACAACTAAAATGTTGTATTCCAAGTCTGGAAGACAGTTGGAAATAGAAATAACATTTATTTAAAATGAAGTCATCTTACTTTGATTTCTTATGAAAAACATTATACTTTAGAGCAAAGTACGTGGTAATTCTATATTAATGTTCTGAGTTGGTTATTGCTTTTTAAGTGTTGGCTTTTATGTTCCTTCATGTGCTTCACAGTATTTTCTTCTATTTAACCTGAGCCATACTTAATATGACTTAATACAACTTTGATACCAGCAGCTCTTTAATAGTTCTGTGGAAATGTTGTTTAACGTGAAAAAAATCATTGCCAAAAAGAAAACAAATAACTCTGTAATGATGTAATACTTAGCTTAGCTGACACTGGCATTATTCTAATGTGGCACCAATTATGATACCAAATATTGAACATTCTTTTACAAACTCCTTTTTGCCTTTTTACATCTGCTTCACTCTTTCATTTTCAGTGTGGAACTTTTGGCAATTAGCAGGGAGTGGAGCTGCTGCTTCTTTCCACCTACCTTGTAGTTGCTGTCAGGGCTCTCATGAGTTTCAGATATTCTGTAACTCCAATTGTTCAACTTAAATAGCTCTAAATGAATCTTGCTTAAAATTACAGATCTTAAGGTCTATCCTTAATAGAGCACAACAAACTTTAGGTAGCAAGCAATATTTCTGATCAATGTTAGAGAAAGTCAAGACATTAAAATAGATTCCTATGTGCTGGTTTTATTCAGTGTCTGAAGACCTACACCAAAGAAGAATACTCTTCTGAGTTTGGTTGTATTCACTATGTAATTTATTAATTTGTGAAACCAATTGAGATTTTAAAATGCAGAAAGGCATGATTGGGTAGAAACCTTAATTTTAAGAAATTGGAAGACTTTACATCCATAATAAGCGAAAGTCAGTTGGTTTAATTCTCTTACTGTATGCTTGTAATAAATATCTAAAGATATATTGCGCTTAAAACTGTAAAATGGTTTTTATATCCAGCCCAGTGAGAGCACTTGAGTTTAACATAGGAAAAATGAATAGCTTTTTGGTTCTCAACTCCATACAACTGCAGTCTGATGATAAATAAGTCTTGTTATTTAGTTTAAAAAAAACCAAACTCCAGTGACAAACATAAATGCTCATTAACACAATTGTCAAGTCTTCTAATCAGCAATATTTCTAGTATAAAATTTCTATACAGGAAGTTTAAGTAAGCTTTGCGTAATGAACTCAAATACAGATGCAAATAACAATATTACTGAGTGATTCTGATGGCTGTTATTTTAGTTCCAACTGAAACACCAATGTTGATGAACCCTACAAAGACTCTGCTGTCAAGGTTTGAGATTGGCTTTCGCTCAGTTGTTGGTTTGTAATTCTTGTGAATAGAGATTTTCTTTACTGATTCCCTTGATTAAGAAAAAAAAAAAGGGCTTTGATGTGCTGGTACCTAAGAAATGAGGCTATAGCTTGGTATCAATACATCGATGCTTAACTGTCTTTTCTAGTTTTATTGATCTACATGAAATACCTTGCATCTTTCTGTCACTATTATAAAGTAAACTACATGCAATCAAAGCAAAGGATTATTTCCTGTCATAAATTGCAGTTTCTTTCCCTTCTGATAGTAGTAAATTTTCCTTTCTAGGGAATGCTGTGTAATTCCTTGAAACTTCTTAGTGAGTTGCCTTTTATAGGGGTAAAGCTCAGAATACCATTTTCTGCAGTTTTTTCAGGTAATAAAAAAATAAAAATAAAATAAAACTTCAGAAGCAGGGTTGCTAGAAGCAATCTCATCTCAAATCTTGGTAAACCTAGAAATTCTATGTTTAATTTCTAGCTTTAAGAACAGTATGAAGTCTGGTTCTAGAAATCAGGTTGTCGACTAAATGCCCTATTTGACTAAGCCAATCTACCTATTCCTGTAAAGATGCATAAATGTAACTAAAAATAATATGGCTCATATGCTTAGTAGAGTAATTTAGGGCTTTTAGTAATTTAGGGCTGCTTTATAACTGCAAGTTGTGAAATCTAGAAAGCCTTTGTGGCTTCAAAACAACTGGAGTAGAAGCTATTCTCCGAATGCTTCAGTTTTTCTAAACTGTTTTGTAGAATTGTCAAAATGGAGAACAAGTGAGTTTTGCTGCAATACAGAAATAAAGAACATATGATGTTAAAAAAATCTTTCCAACTTTCGACGAATTACAACCTCCCTTGTAAGGTTTTGAAGAATTAGTTAAGGCTTTTTCTATAGTAATCAACAGGTCTTGATATGGAAGCATTGCGCTTTGTAGTTCTTAAATGTATTTTATGTCACTCTTGTGAATGAGACACGTGGTTTTGTGGTGAGTTGTTCTGAACCTTGTGCAAAGCATTTATATCAGTGCCTTCGAAAGCTAGGTAAGTATGGTAACTGTAATCAAATTCATGGGGTTCTGTTTTAAAATGTGAGCCGGTGTTATGCTCTCTATTCTAGCTGAACCTCCCACAGAAGTACCAGTGACATTTGTTTCCATCTATGCCTTGAAGATCTTAATGTGATGCATTTCTTAAATTTGTAACTGAAGAAGCTTTAAACTGCATCGATTATCTTAAGTAGATATTGGATTTTGTTATATCAATGAGTAAAATGGCAACAATATGCCCATTCTTCCTCTAGAGTGAGAGGATAGTAACTCTTTTGGGAAAGTAAATGCGTATACCTGAGAAATTGTCATAGATCAAACACAAATCTGAATTTAACATTGATCTAAAGTGAAGACTAATAGTTTAAATTAAAAAAAAAATCTTTCTCTGATACAGGAATTCTGTGCATCATGACTTCTGCGTGGAACTGGGTGGCCCATGGCTTATATCTGCTCTTGAATATTTGTTCTCTTGAAGGTAAGACTTCTGTGTCTCAAACACAAGAGACTTGTAGAAATTCTTTAATCGGATGCTTGAAGCACATGCTTGCTTTTTCACTAGATGCTTGTGGGGTGGGGCAGAAAGCAAAGTTTATCACCTGTATGGTAAGGTGCCTTTAGGCAGAGCAGAGTCAAGAATCAAATGTTTAGTATGTTTAGAAGGTGGAAGGTAATACACTTGAGGTTATGCTTGCCATTAAAAAGGTATTTTTTGTTGAGAAAGTTAACAAAAAGTCGGGGTAAGTGTGCACCTTTGTTGTGGTGGGCTAGTTTTAGAATTGCATGCAAAACAGTTAAATACTTGAGATGTCCATTTCAAAAGCTTTAGTGTGTATACTATGAGCATATTTGGGAATTATAACGAACTCTGCATGTTTGATAGTACTCCTTTTACAAAGGAAATTCAACACAACAATAAAATTGTGACAATTGCTACAGAGGCACATAAAAACTGTCAAGTTTTAGAGATTTAATATTGCGTTGAATCAACAGCCACACTAAACATCCTGAGGGTGATCATTTGCTACACAATACCAGTGGCCCACAGCTCTAACCTTACCAGCTTTTCTTGCTTGCTAAAATGCTTTTGCAAAATCTGGGGAATCTTACACTAGTTTTGTCCCTTAAAACTGCTTGGGTTTCAGTGTTTTTATAACTGTCAAGTAACTAATTCATCTCCTGCTTAGACACATGTGGCATTTTTTAACATTACACTAGTGTTGTATTAGCAGTATTGATTATGGAATGCTCTGCAGTTTTTAATGAAGATGCAATTCCTTTTCTTTTTAGTTTCAGGTGGACTTGTACAGTCTTGTGGTCACATCATCCCAGAGTCTCCTGTATTGGCCCTTGGTTCTAATTTCACAGCATTATGCATTTTGAATGAGAGCTGTCTTGACTTTGGCAATATCTATGCTAATCAAATCATCTGGAAAATTAAAAATAGAGTGGTACCTAAAGAACAGTACCGTGAAATAAACAGAACAGTTTCCAGTGTCACATTTAATGACACTTCTTCACTAGCTACTCCTCTGACATGCAACATTTTAGCAGATGGACAGCTTGAGCAGAACATTTATGGAATTACAGTTACAATAGGCTGTAAGTACCACTTTTCTTGCCTTTTATTTTGGCCTAAGAAAATTGCTTCTAAGAAACAGGGAAAAGAATGCAAACAATAGAAAGTGTCCACATTTTGAGCCACTTATTTCCATTTCCTCAGTTCCTGGATAACTGTATAAAAACTTTGTCAAATCACATGGTGTCAAAGCTGGTAAATATGCATAGAATAAAGTTTTTTTTTTAAAAAACAGAAAATACTCTGGAGTATTTCAGTGTTGAAATAGGACGACAACAGAACACAGAAGACAACAGGAAAATGTTGAAGCAGGAGGATTTAAATTACAGAAAGATGTGAATTTAACTGAAATATATCCTAGGAAATAAACTAACTTTTCCTTAACTCTTGCTTCTGTTTCAGTGTTCAAAGAAATACAATAAGGTCGTATGTCCTGCTTTTGTAATAACACTACGAAATGAATGTTTTCTTCATTAATTGACTGAGAAATATTTAGTCTAGCTGTATCACTAAAGCTAACCTTAAGGTTAGCTAACTGCCGTAAGGATGGAACATACTATTTGGTTTACTCTACCTCTATACATAAGAAAATACTTCTAACTAATTATAAACTTTCCTTGTTCAAGCATGATAGCACTTGCATAGTTCTGAGCAAGTGCTCTTTAAGGCAAGACTGAGGTCTTGAGAAAGTAACATGAATAACTTAATATACTACTGCTTAATTAGTTGGTGGACCGTTTATAAAGTGTTCAAGTGTCCTTAATAGTGGACTATGAATGGCTGAGGAATTACGTAGTCTCCTACTGTAGGCAAAAGATACTGCCATTGTTGCATGGTCTGTACTAAAGGCTGGCTTGAGTTCACAATTTAAACTAATGTGGTTCTAGCATGAGTTACAAAGTGCTTTCACAGAAAAAACAATGTTTCCTATTTCAACTTCTGAGGACTCACTTTCCTGCCAGAAGAGACAGGCAAAATATATGGCAGGAAATTTGAGCCATATGGATAGGATATGGAAAGTTTAGGACAGATACAGTATCATAAGGTGATAAACAGAATGACAGGTAACATTCTACAGTTGCAATTCACATAAGAATCGTGATACATTTGTATTTAAAGCAACTGTACTTTTATACTGTCAGTTAAGAAAAATTCTGTAAACAATGAGACCTGTAAACAACAGGTTTGAGAAGAATACAACTATTCAGGAACAAAACTATACGGTTCATACAGTAGTTCTGCTGAAAGTAGTATTGTGCTTGAAAGGAAATAAGATTCTGAGAATGCATTATAGTCTTGTAAGTAGTGATATTCTAAAAGCTAGAAACAAACTATGCTATGATTTGAACTTAAAAGGAGGAAAAAAATAGTTCAGCTGCACTCTGAAAAAGTTTCTTACACACTACTAAAGTGCATGGATGAAGATCTCTTATGTTTCTTGTAGGTGTTCTCAGCTAAAGCATCCTTCTTGCATACCTCATGCTGGGGAGAACAGACCTATCACAATTGCCTTAGAGTTCAGGTTATTGGCAAGTAAGCATATGTCAGTCCAGCTGTAGTGCTCATCAGCATTTCTTCTGTGTGAATTAAAACAGATTGACATGAGAGATGGTTGATATCCGGTTTTCTGCCTCAAAGAATGAGAAGCCTGCTGTTCTGCACTGTCAGGTGCTTGTTCTTTATACAGCCTACTGTTTCTCAGAGCAGCTGGTTAATCTTCTTGACTTCCATTGCTGGATGCAATCTGGAACTTTTTGCCCCCTCCTTTAGAAATAAATCTGACTCTAAATACTTCTGATGTTCACTGAAATTGCTCTAATGAGACACTTAACATGATTCTTAGTGGACTGAAATGTGTATATAGCTTAATTTTTGCCATTTTTTTCTGTACAGTGCCCCCAGAAAAGCCCAAGAACTTAAGTTGCATTGTGCATCAGGTGTCAAAACTCACATATCCTATGACTTGTACCTGGAACCCTGGAAGGCATACATTCCTGGACACTCACTTTAGGTTGAAATACAGGTGGTAAGTATACTTCTATAGAATATCTAATAAATAAGTTTGAGGAATATTTGTAGCGTAAACCAAACCTCCTTGAAATTCCTTGATGCTTTGGAATAGTTCTTAACTTAAATCCAGTTTTCTGAAGCATTGCTCTCTATTTTGGGGGAAGGGAAGAGAAGAGTTAAAGAAGTTCACATTCAAAGTAGTTTTAAGCTGGACTTGAAATTTTGTTGCTGTACTTGTTTTGGAGTCACAGCTCTCTGACACTTTTCTATTCTTCAAATACATGATTAGTGTGGCTTGAGTACAACACACCTAATCATTATCGCTCTCTTCAACTACCTGAAAGGGGGTTGTGGTGATGTGGGTGTTAGTCTCTTCTCACAAGTAACTAGTGATAGGATGAGAGGAAATGGCCTCAAGTTGCGCCAGCGCAGGTTTAGATTAGATATTAGGAAAAATTTCTTTACTGAGAGAGTGGTCAAACATTGGAACAGGCTGCCCAGGGAGGTGGTAGAGTCACCATCACTGGAAGTGTTCAAAAAATATGTGGACATGGCACTTCGGGACATAGTTTAGCAAACATGGAGGTGTTGGGTTAATGGTTGGATCTTGAAGGTCTTTTCGAACCTTAATGATTCTGTGATTAGGTGTCTGGACCCAAATTACATATTTTACATTACTCTGTGGGGACTGTTCTATCCAATTCTAAACAAGTAGAAGACATTGCTGCTCATTGCAGGAGGGTCAGGCTAGATGACCTTTAAAGGTCCCTTCCAAGCCAAACCATTCTCTGATTCTAAGTAGAAAAAAACACAAGCTACAGTGACTAGATTTGGTAGAGTTATTATCTACTCTGTACTTCCAAGGAACTCAGAATGCTGTTTGTCCATGATTAATCCTAACCTGAAAGCTTCAGCAAAAGTATTTCTCCTGTGAAAGCAAATTAACTTAAGTATTTTTCAGACTCTTCAAATGGTGTCTTGTAGTTTAAAATGGAGTGAACAGAATTGTTGGTCTCCTCTGGAAGCAGGACCAGCCACCCCATTCCACTAAAATGTTTTGGTAACAAGTGTAGTGGAAAGTATGAATAGATAGAAAACATTAATGCTTTGTGAATCTACTGATGCCCCTATTGCTGTTAGTGTAGCAGAAGATGGTGAGCAGAAATGATGATGTGTTGCAGCTCTAACACTGTACTCTTGAAGGGTATGCAGGTAATATGACTACATCTTTTAATGCATGAATATGCTTCTAGTTACTAACAATATTGCTTTTGATTAAATGTATTAGATTTTGATCTTTATTTTTTTTAAGTTGGGTTCTTATACAGCTTTATAATTACAATACTGTGGCTTGGGCTTTTGAAGATACGTGACTGGAAGTCAAGAGATTTTATTGTAGTTTCTATTCTAATGCAACCATGCCCTTGTGGCTGAACAAGTCATTCTAATCTCTTGACCTTTTTCTTCCTACCCTGCTTCTTGCAAAGATAATGGCAGAGGGGAAACACATGAGCTAAACTGATCACTCTGGTCTACTTAAAAAGATTCTCTAAAGGAAACCAGACTTACTGCTTTATACCTTGTTTTTCCTTGTCTTTTATTTAGGCCACAAGAGAACTTTCCTGACTGTATACCAAAAGATGTAAACAATTCTTGTACCATTACTGATGTTCAGTTCTTTGTTAACCTGGAAGTCTGGGTAGAAGCAGCAAATGCTCTTGGGAAGGCTGAATCTGATCCTCTTGTTCTTGATCCCATTGAGATTGGTAACTATATGCCTCTTAATAAAGCTTTAGTAGTACATAACTGCTGCCTCTGTGTATATTGCTGATATTGGTATGTTAATGTTTCTTTGCCATAAAAATTAACACTGACAAAATACTGTTGACTAGAACTTGAACTGTGCTGGACAAAGGTAGGGAAGGTGAGAGATTTGATGACAAATTAGACAGCAAGATCTTGTTGAGTAGTCTGCTTTGGAAACTCATGTGAAGTAGGAGCCATTTGAGTTTGTGAAAGGCTTTAATGGTAGTGTTATAGCAGCATAGTGTACCAACTGCTAGAGGCATGATAAAATACAGCTGTAGAGTTGACTCTGACTCCTCCTCTTCTAGTTAAACCTCTGTCTCCACACAACTTATCAGTCAACTCGGGAATACTACCTACTGTTCTGAAGCTTTCCTGGGAGAATCGGATTTCAGCAGCTGTGATGAAGCTGAAATTCAATATTCGCTATAGAATCACTGGTGACACAAACTGGATGCAGGTAAAACCACTAATGTCCCTTGTCACTCTTCTGCTGTAACCCAGCCCTCTGTCAAACTGCACAAGTTCCCAGTTACCTCACTGCCACAGTTCAGAGGGTTTGCTTTATCCTTAGGCCTTATGGATACCTGGTCTGCGAAGGTAGTCTATCTGGTCTGTTCATGGAGGCTGTGATCTAGGGGTTTTTGGCACAATCGAAAGTACAGTGACCTTGTAATTTCTTTGTGGACTTCTCTGCTGTCCTCCCCATCATGTTGCAGTATGTTTATTCTGAATTTTTAATTTGTGCATGCAACATTTAGAACATTCATTAACTTTAATCTTCCTGTGCACATGCAAAACTAATGATCCAGATGTTGTTTATAGCTTGGGCAAACACTGTGCAGTGCTGGACTCTTTTTTTTTTGAACTTTCTGTACTGCACTTGGGTCACAACAACCCCATGCAACACTACAGGCTTGGGAAAGAGGGGCTGGAAAGCTGCCTGGTGGGGAAGGACCTGGGGGTGTTGATTGACAGCCGGCTGAACATGAGCCAGCAGTGTGCCCAGGTGGCCAAGAAGGCCAATAGTATCCTGGCTTCTATCAGAAATAGTGTGGCCAGCAGGAGTAGGGAAGGGATTGTGCCCCTGTACTTGGCACTGAGAGGCTGCATCTTGAATCCTATGTTCAGTTTTGGGCCCCTCACTACAAGAAGGACATTGAGGTGCTGGAGCGTGTCCAAAGAGCAGCAATAAAGCTGGTGAAGAGTCTAGAGAACAAGTCTTATGAGGAGCAGCTGAGGGACCTGTGTTTGTTTAGCCTGGAGAAAAGGAGGCTGAGGGGAGACCTTATTGCTCACTACAACTACCTGAAAGGAGGTGGTGGTGAGGTGGGTGTTGGTCTCTTCTCCGAAGTAACTAGCGATAGGACAAGAGGAAATGGCCTCAAGTTGCTCCAGGGGAGGCTTGAAACTGGGTATTAGGAAGAATTTCTTCACTGAAAGTGTTGTCAAGCATTGGGACAGGCTGCCTGGGGAATTGATTGAGTCACCATCCCTGGAGGTATTTAAAAGATGTGTGTATGTGGCACTTGATGACACGGTTTAGTGGTGGGCTTGGCAGTGTTAGATTAATGGTTGGATTCAGTGATCTTACAGGTCTCTTCCAACCTAAATGATTCCACGATTCTATACAGTATTGTCCTGCATACATGGCTTAAGCCTGATACAGTCAAGGAACTGGAAAAAAGTAAGGAATATGCCTTACCTGTAGTGCCCTATAGTATGTTCCTGTCATCAAGAGTTGTGGGGGTTTTTTCTTCTATATCAATCAATGGATGTATTTTCAATAGCTTCTCAGTTTTGCCTTTCTTTAAGCCTTCTCTCAGAGCAGCAGTAGTTTTCTGTTTTCATCAAGATCTTACCATCTTCTGTTTTAGTACAAAGGCCCAAAACTATTCTGAATTTTATGACTTGTTGGGATGGAAGACTGCTTCTGACTTACCAAAACGTGGTGTTTGAAGCAGGTGGCATAATACAGCTGCTTATGACTAATGCAGTGTATTCCTTCGGAAGAACTTTTTGAGCTTTAGATGCAGAGGTTAATTATTAAGGTCACCTGTATTGATACTTTAAAGAGCACTGTCCCTCACAGCTTGTTCTGCAGCTCCAGGTTCATACATTATTCTGTTAAGGCCTCTTAACTTGTCTTGCCCTCTTAACATGTGCTCCAGACCATTGAAATTGTAACTTTTAAAAAAAACTGAGCTTGCTTAGCTGTGGTAAAATTTGACTACTTTAACAATGCTTTGCACTCAGGATTAACCTCTCTGAGTGTCCTGCATGTGTGTTTGATCTGAAGTCATTCCTCTTTCAGGGTTACTATAAAAAAAACCTTAATTGCAAGCAGAATAATAACATGTGATGGAGTCACTGTGTGTGTATACCTACATATGTCTATTATCTACATCACACATCTGTTTCTGTACATACGCAGTAAGAATACTTTCTGGCATTCAGCTGCTAATCTAAGATAAAGGACAGAGCTTATGAAAATAAACTTCTTTATCATCAAAAGTATAAACTACTCTAAAACAAGCTATTTCCAATATCAGTTAAGAAACACTGTTCTGTATCAGTGGAAGCAGTGATCCAAGATTTTCTAGCTTTATAGGAGGCTTCTAGCACAGGTATTTTGCAATCAATTGAGCAGATAACGTAGCGAAGTTCTGAAATGTGAGGTGGGATATTACAGATCAGTAAGTAGAGGAATTATATGGGAAGGAAGGAGAGGTAGACATAAACTAACTAGGACAGTATCTCATATTCTGTTGTCCTTTTTGGGGGGATAGCTGCTTATCTATTCTAGTGCATGTATTGTATTTACCAGGTATACTACACACAACTATGACTGATCCCTTACCAAACCATGGCTGAGAATTGAAGTTTTTGGAAATGAGGGGAAAAAAACTATGTTGTTTGTTTTGGGCATATATGTGGTGGGAAACCCTCTTGGCTGGGAACTGTAGCAGCACAGAACTCAGCTTTAAAATTTTTGATCAGTGCCTCTAAAATCTTTCTTCCATTTACAGGTTCCTCCTGAAGATACAGCTTCACCAAGAACTTCATTCAGTGTTCAAGGGCTCAGACCCTACACAGAGTATGTGTTCTCAATTCGTTGCATGAAGGAAGATGGAGTCGGTTACTGGAGTGACTGGAGTGAAGAGAAAACTGGGGTCACCACTGAGGATAGTAAGTAATATATGAAAGTAGGTCACTGACTTCTGAAGTGTGTGAGTGCTAAGCAATTTGGCAATAGCCAGCTGAAACTGTGTATCCTTGCTTGAGCTGTTTAATTATACATGCAACAAGGCTCTCCTGAGTTACTTCCAGCGCCGACCAACTTGACCCGTGCATTCCAAGGAGCATGTGAATAGCTTCCCATAAGGCTAGTACAGAAGCACTCCCTGAAAATAGCTAAAACAGGAGGTAGGGAAGAAAAGCTTTTTTCACAGGAAGTTATAGTCTCAAAGTCTTTTAGAGATGTAGGCTTTATGCTTGGGGTTTTTTTGTTCTGAAGATTATCATCTGTATCAGAAGCTATTCTGCCTGTGTGAAAGTTTGGGGGTTTTTTTAGTAGACCAAATGAACACCGATTTTATGAACAACTTGGTGTTTAGGAGGCCATTAGACAAAGTCATAGGTGGACAAGCATCAGTAAGTATGAAACAGAAGGTTTTAGTCATAGGGTGCATGGACTTCTTCACAAACTTGGTAAAGCAATGACAGGAAATAATGTGCTTATGGGAAGTGTCACCTTTTTATGCACCAAAGCATTAAATAAAACACTGTTTTACTTGTAATTTTCCCAAGGTATTCTGCATCTATAACACTTTCTTGCTTGCCAGTCACTTGTATCTGCCCCTGCACTTTCTTGTATCTACTTGTTTACAATACTGTATGCACAGAAATAAGAGTCTTGATGCTCATCACTGATACAGCTGTCACTGTGGGAGGTGTAAGAAAGGGAATGCCATCTATAAAACACTGACTTTAAGAAAAACTGAGTCTGTGTGGAAAATAGTTTCATTTTGGCTATACTTAATCACAAAAATCACTGTTTTCTTACAATTTCCTCACAATTTCATTTCTTGATGACATAATTGTTCTCATCTTGTTGACTTGTAATATCCCATCCTTTGCAGTAGGGGTGAAAACTGAATTGCTGCTATCATGATTTAATGAGGAAAACTTAGCAGCATCAGCTCTTTGACAGTATTTGTATCATGTTTAGTCTTGCACAAAAGGACTTTGCAAGCATGATGTATACAACTTCAAAGTATAAACAAATTACTACTTAAGATACACAAAAGATAGCAAACCACTAGGTTAAGCTTTAAGTTCACAGCCCTGGAAAAACTGCTTAAGAACCTCAGTCAACCGTCAGCCTTCAATGCTTTGTGGAACCAATACTCAGCATTGCAAAGTTGCTGCTATACACCAAATCTGTTCACACTACAGCCAGCTCATCAACTTGTCTGGCCTTTCAACTCTTTGTGATGCTCTAGTCAGCTGTTATGACATTGTATATTTCCATTGAACTGTGCATCCTGCAGGTGTGCTGTGTTGCCCTGGACTCATTCATATTTCTTCAGCACAGTGGTACTAAGACTGTTACTGCACTCAATGTCTTCTAAGATGTGTGTCTGCTTCCAGTTGCTCATGAACACATGAATTGCTTGAAGTGTACTGTGGCATTAAAGTAAATACAGCTCACTGTATTATGAATTTAATATACTTCACTGCTCATGGAAGTCATTGCAGTACTTCACCACTAGAGAGGCTCTGCTGCAAGTTTGTTCTTGAGTACAGAGACTCTGTTCTGCCACTGAGTTGTGCCAAGATTTTTAGTTGACTATGTTTAGTATTTTCTGTTACTGATTATTTTGTTTGGCTGTTTTGTTTTGCAGTGTTTCAGGACTTAGCAATTGTTGCAGCAACTGTAAACTCTGTACAAAATAAAGTTTCACAACAATAACTGAGCAGTAATTATTGGAATGCTCACACTAAAATCACACTCATGGATTTGTTACAGTATGAAAAATTCTGTTCTCAGATAGTGGATTCTTAGATTTTCTATTAACAGAAAAAAACACATGCAGTATATACAAACACAACCTTAACCTATGCATTTGGCCCTTTTATTTGCTCTCCAAATAAAAGCTCCAGGCTTTAATGTATACCTTTTCTGTGGTTGATTTTCCTTTTGTCATTCATCTGAATAGCCCACTTAAACTGAACTGGAACTAATTCAATGTCTTTTATAGATGCTTGAGAGGTGCTAACTGGTATTTTCTTGATTCTGAACCTCTGTTGGTGTCAGAACACCCTACAGTAGTGTCTTGCTTCTTGCAAAAGGTAAAATGAACTAACTTCAGTACGCAGTAAGCGATTGAGAAATGCCTGTGTCATTAGTTGTGATACACTGCAAACGTAAATACAGTCCGTTTTCTGCTGCTAGAACAGCATTTTAACAAAGTGTCATAGCTAACCTTCCTAATGATAACAGGATAGTCATGCTTTTTCTTCATTGTTTGCTAATCAGTTAGCATTTCTTGCTATTATAGCAATACGTTGACAGTAAAATTATTTCCTATTCTGAGTTTGCTTATAGACAACTTCAGAGGTATGATCATCTCTTGCAGATGCTTAGGTAACTTGCAAATTTATAGGATATTGGGATAACTTAAATTGGAAAGGAGCTCATGGGGTCTATAGTTCCCTCATTCTTTTTCTACCAAGTGTTGGGCTCAGAAAAGGGACTACAAATTGCAATTTTAGCAAAACCTGTACTAAAATTTTATTCATCTTTTTTTAATGTACAGATGCTTGTTAGAAAGATTAAATGAAACAAGCAGATACTGGACAGTTAAGTTACTTACACCATTATTATTGCCCTCAAATTATAACACTGACTTTTAGATGTTGTGTTTTGGTTAACACTGTTAGACCCATATCCCAGAAGATTCCACATTCGCTTGCCTTCTGCATTCAGAAGATTTGGTGCTTGTCTCAGTAGCAAGCTATCAAGATACAGGTGTATTTACCACTACTATATTCAGGAACATACACTTCTGTATTACCATAGGGATTTATCCAAGTGTTACGTTTCCAAGTGTTAAGTACTGTAACTGTAAAGTGAAGTTTCAACAGAATCGTTAAATGCAAAAGCACAGATGTACAGTCATGATGCTGAAGAGTAATGTAAGCTTCCGGCAATTATGACATCTTTTGGCAATAGTTTTACTACCTAATCCTTATCGGGAAACATCTACTTTAACTCCAGACAGTGACTGTAGCCAAGGGTCTTTATATCCAACAGAGAAGGTTTGCTGCATAGCTGTGTATTACTACAATAATATGCACTGTGATTTCTGGGTGTTCTAGAATTCGTAAATTACCCTCAAAGGCATTTGATATTTTAAAACCTTGTTTGGTTTGCTTCTGAATCATCAGTAGCAGCAGCACTGGTAGTCACTTGTTCATTCCTGACTTTAAAGAGAATTAAACAATGTGGGGATTTTGTCTTGTTTTTCCAGGAACTTTTGATTATTATGTCAGAAATTCTTCTCTTCCCATTCTGGGGTTCTGAGGAGTGAAACTGCTTTAGCTTGGTCCTGTTTACATTTCATTTCTGTTTTGATATCCTGCAAGATTGGCTTTGTTTCTGGCTTATACTGATCCTACCCCATATGGACTCAGTAAATGGACTTTCTGGTTGCTTGCTTGATACCCAGTAGGGAATCTATTCTTCCTTCCAGCTACTACAAATACTTTGTGATACCTCTTTAGCTTCTAAGTTATCCTGATGGGTTTTTTGTGTGTGTGCTTTAGCCTTTCCCGCTTGCACTCTTCCTGGTTTCCTTTCTATAATATCCTATCTGTTCCTTAGTGCCTTCCAAGGCACCCTATTCTTAAGCAGTCTTAGTGCAGCATTTCAGTGCATGTCTTTAAACAGTGTTAGACCAATATAGGTTTCATTGTCAAAACACCACTTTGTGCTTGGAGCTTAGCTGCACTGCATCAGAAATCCTTCCTTTATTTATCCAGTACCAATGTCTTATTTTAGCCTCAGAGCAAAGGTGTTATAGTAGGAAATTAACAGGAGGCAGGTCATGTTGCATTCATGATCTGTATTAGGCAAGATGTACGATTGCTTCTGTTTCATGTGAATCAAATCAGGATACTCAAACGAGATTGTTAAGAGCGAGCTCCCTTTGCCTCAGTTCCCAATTCTTCTTCCCTCCTGATGTAAAGCATAAGAGACAAGATGCACACTGTGAACTTCATACTGGGTTTTGGAGGTAAAACAGCCAAAAGCTCATTATGATTCATATAAAAAATGCAATAAAAGAACTCCCAGAGAAAATACAGTCTAGCAAGATTGTAATTGTACATGCATTTTGAGATCATCTTTCTATTAGTGCTAGGGCCCTCACAAAGGTTTGGCCACTTCTTATTGCTTTATGCACTATAATAGATTGATTCCTTCTACTTTGAAATGTAATTTGTAGTGGAAATACCACTTGAATTTTTTATAGTGTTGATGCCAGAAAGTATTGTAGCATTGTACAAAAGTCCTGCAGTTCTATTACCGTTTCTAGCATAAAGAATACAGGAAACTTGGGGAATTCTAGCAGGAGAAATTTGTCTCCTTGTTAACTTTTCTGCACTTTCCTTTTTTAGGTAACTTGATATTGAGGGGTAGGGAGAATGTTGCAGCTACAAACCATAGCAAGGTTTGCACTATACAGGTGTGCAGGCCTGTGCCTCTGGACACAGGCTGCACAGTGTAGGTTTGGTTGTGCCTCACTCAGCACTGTCACCTTCAGCCCATTGTTGCAGATGCTCAGCATGGTGACTCAATTATTTTGATACTGTACATTTCCATGCAGGTCACTCCACTTAATATACCAAGCGTTATTTTCGTTGAGGAACTAAGGAAACACTTTTTGTATATGCTTTTATTTTAAAAAAGGGGGAAAACATTTAACGATAGTCAAAAGATTAATTCAAACAGATTAAATGAAAGTATTTCTCCTATTAAGCATTGTTTCTTTCATCAGAACCATCTAAAGGACCACCCATATGGAGGATCATTGACGCATCTCACTCACCAGCTTCCTGGACTGTGCATCTGGTGTGGAAGGTAAAGCAGCATGATAAAATGGAGGAATTGAGCATTCTTTTGAAATACATGAGTTTTTAAGTGTCAAAACGTACTTCAACAGACTTGAGTAGATACCTGGGATAGTACAGGTTTTATTGATAAGTGATTTTAGGATTCATATTATAATAAGCAGTTATGAAAAATTAGAAGTACAGATGTAAAGGTCATCAGTTAACTGACACACATCTGTGACCCAGGGTATACAGAATCCACTTTCAGATTCCTGACTTGGTGTCCTTCAGCAGTCTGTGGAATTGGCAACTTTCACTTGAACAAAGTAAAATATGTTGTGCCTTCTGCTGTATCCTAAAACTTTTGTAACACTGTTTGGACTGGGGTACTCCACCTGCAAAATCCATTAAGCCTAGGGATGTTCCAGAGGCCAAACTTAATTAAATACAGCACTCAATGTTTGCTTGCAGTAGGCTGCTGTGTCTGGTTGATAGATTAGTCCAAAGCTGAGAAAGTGAATGCATTTGTGGTCAGACCCCACCTTCTGCTTTATTTTGGTCTGTGAACTTTGTCACATTTGACCTAGCTGTCTTTTCATTATTACTTTTTCCTACTACTAGGTGGCTTGTGTGAAATTACATGTATATTGATGTAACTTGTATGCCACATGCCACATGTGACGTTATTTGGCTTAGAATTGGAACACAGTGCAGTTTCAACAATTTACTTTTATCTGGAAACTAATACTGTTACACAGAAACATAGTCTTTTTCTGTGTTACTAGATAACACAGAAACAAGTATTTTTCCATGTGTAATAGCAGAAAATTATTCAGGCAGTTTTGCATTCCTGTTCAGCACAGCTTAAGATGTGAGAATCCTTTTATGCAATTGTGTTGTAAAGTCACATAATGCAGGTTTTACCAACATGTGTTCTACAGTCTTTACAGAAGAGCTTTTATCAAACTACTAGGTAGAACTGTGAGCCAAGAAAGAGGGTTTAAACCAGAAGTAGTTCTGGAAGTTACTGTTTTACAGAAATGAACACAAGTTATTTGCACTTTCCTTAAATATGTGGCTATTTGATCTATGTGGTTTGTCATGTCAGATTTTTAAGTTACACATCAAAGACAATAAAGGTTAAGTCATGTTTGTTTAGTATCAGCCTAATCAAAGGTGTGTTTCTAACAGGCATTGGAGCCATTTGAAGCCAATGGAGTTATCTTGCAGTATGAAGTAACTGTCAGAGCTAAATCATCTCTCTCCAGTCCACCAGAGAAATACAAAGTTAATACCACCAACCTTACCTTAAAGCTGCCAAATGGAACTTATGAAGTGACTGTGATTGCCCATAACAGAGTGGGGGCATCCCCTCCATCAGTTTTACTTATCCCAGCAAGTAATTCAAAAGGTTAGTGTGCTAGTAATGTCTCTTTCAAGTGCATCTGCATGGGTTTTGTTACAAGAAATCTTCAGTGTTGTAAAATGATACCTTTTATATGGATGCATAATTGAAGTATTACTGAATATATCAACAATCTTATGCCTTGTAAATAAGTAAATACAAGGGACGCGTGGATTTATATACTCACAGGTTCTTTCGAAGCTCTGTGTGTGTTCTTTTGCAGTTGTTTTTGATCCTTTTGAGCTACTGTACACTATATTCCCTATTGTTTCTTTTCTTAGCATAGCAGGCATTCTTGTTTTCTTTTTAAAAAAAACAAGGGGTTGGGGAAGCTAGTATCCTTCATGTATATGAATAAAAGAACCGTCTTGCCATTGTTCTTCTTCCTTCTGCTTTCTGATCTCCACATCGCCCCCCACTTTCTTCTCTTGTCCCAGTCTCTCTCCCACATTTTGAGTATCTTGCCTGGTTGCTTTGTCTTCTGCTTCCACTGTCTCCCTCTTGTTTGTGTTCCTTTTTATTATGTTCCTTTCATTGTGCAATAGTAGTAACTACAGGCTGGTTTTTCCTTACTTCCAGCCTCCTCTTAGGCAATCCAAACACTACTGGGACAGGAAGCAAAAAACAAGTGTATAGATACATGCTGCCTTTAGTGTAAACACCATGGGTTCTAAAATAATAGATGAACTAATTATGGGTATGTTTCAAACAGAGTAGCATTGCAGCCAGAAATACGTTAAAGTACATGAGTGTGAGGATTAGAATGGGAATTTATAAGTATCTCGAGGTTTGATTTCCCTCTGTAATAGTCCCTTTTTGGGACTTTTTTGGAAGATATTTTTGGAAGAAACATAGTATCTCTTTCCTGTGCAATAAGGCAACTTACTGTGTTTGAGAACAGAGAAGCTGAGTCTAATTTCAAGTTTTTAAATAGCCTAAATCTGCTTATTTTGGATCTCTGACAGAAAGATTCACATGTAAGTCTCGAAATTTCAGAAAATGGCTTTTACATAGGTTCTGTCAAATTGTCACCATTAAAATAACCCTAAAGTATCCACATTTGACAAAATAGCTATTATTATGAATATCTAGTGGAAGAACTGTCAATACTTATCACTTTTCTGTTTTCTTTTATCACAGCTCCTGTGAAGAATGTTAGAACGCTACCTAAAGATGGCAAGTTGTGGGTAGGGTGGACTGCTCCTAACAGTTATGTTCTTAAATATGTGATCGAATGGTGTATGGTGTCCAACAGCTCAGACTGCATCATTGAATGGCAGAATGAACCAGGAAATGTTCAAGGAACATACTTAAAAGGTATTTAGCTCATAAGTCTACAAATACTTTGTAGAACACTGAAAACTGCTCAGTGAGGAGCATCCTCATGCTGACTAGAATTGTATTGTAGGAGGAATATGGGATAACAATGAGAGCTTCTCTTAGGTTATCATGAGTGTGGAAGTGTCTGTATATTTTTGTCAAATATAAAACTGTATCTAAACTTGCATTTTGAAATTTATATTGTGTAACAGCAAGGGGTTTATCTGCATTTTGCTTTAGTCTTCTTGTTCTTGGAAACCATTAAAATAGTGAAAAGTCTGAGTTTCTTCAAAATCAAATTCTGTGATCTCTCTTTCAGTTCAAACAATGAAACTTGATCAGCTTTACAGTTCTTTTCATATCATGATCAGTAGCTCAAATAGTAATTTTGGGGTTCAGTGCAGCAGACAGATAAAGGCTTTTTATTTAAACTAAATCAGGAAAAAAAACAGACTTCCATGAAGTCTGTTCATAAATTTAACTTTTGCATGTGGACCATTATATTGTTATTTTAGTTAATATTTTGGAGCAGTATATCAATGAGCTATAGAAAAAAGAGTCAGCTTCATTAGGTACAAGTGCATCTAATAAAGCAGCCAAAATCCAGAACCTTGTGTTTGAAGTAAATGAGAAAGATGGTAGGGGAATATGACTGTCTGTGAAACAACACATCTTACATTCCTTTTATTAGGTGATATAAAGCCATTCAAGTGTTACTTGATAACTGTGTACCCCCTATATGCTGATGGTCAAGGAAGTGGACAGTCTGTGAAGGCTTATCTTCCGCAGGGTCGTAAGGACAAAATAGTCATCTAGGAGCATGTAAACTGACTGTCTTGACTAAAAGTAGTGAGACCTTTGCTTTAATGTGGACTACGTAATGAAAAATGGTCCTATACATGAGGATCATCTGACATAATTGATCTTGTCCCTTCTATTAATATCCATTCTGCTTATTTACAGTATTTAGGAGTTAACAGATGTCTGTGGCTGACTTTCCCTTTTTCCAAACTTCATCAGATAATTGACATGAGTTTGTTATTTCATTGGTATAGTAGTATTTTTATGCTGATTTATTTTAAATTTCAAGTACAAAGCCAAGACTAATTAACTTCAGTTGAAGATTTCATATGATCTGCTCATTACTGTTTTTCATATCTTTTTCTTGGAGGTTTCTCTTTTAAAATACCTTTGGAGTTGCTGTGTTGTCTGAAAATAATGCTTTGCAGAGGAGTTAGTCCATCTATTCCACTGAAGTTTTTATGCAGTAGCAATTCAGTGCTCATTAATACACTGCTTCTGTGGATGTGAGGGTGCCCAGTAGAAACTAATCTTCATCTCCTACAGGTCCTTCAAAAGGACCAACCGTTCAGACAAAAAAAGTAGGAAAAGCTGAAGCTGTTTTGACATGGAACCATCTGACAGTGGATGAACAAAATGGATTTATCAGAAGTTACACCATATTTTACAAAACTATTGATGGAAATGAAACAGGTAACAGAAAGCAGAGAAGTACATTGTGGCATTGATGTATTCCATCTGTCTCCTTCTTAACACATGTTCTTGAAAAACAAGATAAAGAATCAAGTGTGGCTGACAGTCTGTTCTGATGACAAAAAGCTGATGTCTGAGGCATAGCTCTCCTCCATACTGAACAGAAAAGTCCCTAATAAAGAATTCATAACATTCAGTTTGTGTATAACAGGGGACTGAGTTTCATTTCTGAAAGCTGATTTGTGGGTATTGTGCTCCCATCTTTCTATCTAAATACAGGATGAGTTGGTGGTAGAGCAAGATGAAGCTAGACCATTCAAGATGTTGAGGAATTGACTGCATTTAACTATGATAAAGCCTTAAAAAAATAAGAATTTTTAATCCTCCTGGAGGATTAAAATTGATCCTCCAGATCACTGTATTACTGATGTAAAACATCTTGTTTGAAGTGCATTTTAGTTCTCAGTAGCATGTATGACCTGCAGGTATGAGAGAGGAAGCTAGTGCTGACAAAAGTTCTTTTTTCAATTTGCTTAAATTAGAAAGGGCAATTACTTATGTCTAGCCTACTTCTTGTAATTTCTAGTTAACCATGTTTTTTCTAGTTAGTAACTAGCTATTTCTAGTTAGCCATGTATTCTGCTTATTAGAGACCTTTAAGCCTCGACTTTTCTACTAGTTTAGTTTGTAGCTACACTTAGAGGCAGGGAGACAGGAAATTAACACAAAATATTGTCAAGAAAGAGACTAAATTCAAACACTTGAACAGAAACAAATGAATCTCAACATTTCTTGTACAAGTTTGTAGTCTTTCTGTCTGTTGTGTTTTCGAAACAGCCATGCATTCTGTTAAAACTATCTTGTACATCTGAAGATATGATGTCCTAATACTACTGTGTTTGTGGAGATCTAATAAATTGTACAGAAAACTAGTATAAATTTTTTCCTCTCTTTAGCTGTGACAGTGGATCCTTCCAAGACAGAGTATACCCTTTCTTCTCTAACCAGTGACACACTGTATACTGTGCGGATGATGGCATACACAGATGAAGGAGGCAGGAGTGGTCCTGATTTTACATTTACTACACAAAAATTTGGTAAGAAGAATGGCTCAAATAGTAGAAGTAGGAAGTAATGTTGTAACAGTATAGCAAGGCTCTGTGCAAGATCTGATGGTGGGGAAGGTGATTTTATTTGAACGGAAAAAGGTTTCAGTCACGGTCATACTCACAAGGTGTGTGATATCCAGATAACCTATCTAGTACTCAATCACAAAGAGGTAGTTCAGTCAAGATTTCCTTTGGTTGTACAGAGGACAGGCTATCCTCTGCAGGTCTCCTGGGTTGCTCTCTCATGTTAGCAAACATGCTGATTTTGGCAGTGTATACTTTAGGTTATATTATTCTTTTGCCCTAACTTTGTGTGAGTCACTAGGATTTAGTCAGTGCCTTTGTCTTCTCTTCTGGTATCTGATGGCTCCTACCCTGGTCTTAAAGAGTCCAAAGTCTTTGTTTTAATCTGAAGGTATGTTGGCCTTTACCCTGACACAGGTGTCCGGAGGAGCTGCAGAGGTGTGCTGGGATCTTGAGCTCCTAATCTAGGTACAAGTCAGCACATGCCATTCTTACAACCATTCCTCAGGTTCCGTGTTCTCATTCATATCACTACAGAAGTTTGCTACAGTTCTGTACAGAGACTCATTTAGAATAGTTAAATTTATTGTATGTTCAGCTTTAGAGAGTTTTTCCTATTTTAATGGTAAGAGCAACAACATTAACTGAACTTAGCCCTGGAAAGCACTTCTTCAGATTTAGCAGGTTGTTTTGTTTTCTTAATGCAAAATGTTGCTCTCCCATAAGCATTCTGTAAGGTTTACTCAAGAATGTGTGTAACATTGAAAGGAATACATAACTATAATGCAACCGTAAGTGTTTGCAGCCAGACGATATCTTCATGTACAGAATAAACGGATGACTAGTGACTTTGCTTACATTACTCACTTGACCATGATGTTGTTATGGCAGCCAGTAGGCCACTGAAAGACTTGGACCAGAGATGAAAGAAACCGCATAGATATTACTGTCATATCTGCTCAAACTGTAAATTTACTTGCTCTGTCAGTATTACAGCTTCTAGAGCAACCTGTGATTTTTAGTGGGTTTTTTTGTTGATGCAAGTCATTAGATTGTTGGGATAGAGCTTTCCATGTTTTCACCAACAGGCTCTTTTCCTATGGTGAAAAGGTTCTTCTGAAGGTGAAGCTTAAGACTGAGTGCTTGCAAGTGTATTCAGTTTCAGATTCTCCCGGTCTCTTTCGGAGTGTATGCAGCTGCTGAGTTCTTTTAAATGCCAAAGTGGTCTATAACTGCTTCTCTTCATTTTCTTCAGGGAAAGGAGAAATTGAAGCCATAGTTGTACCTGTGTGTCTAGCATTCCTGTTGATTGTGCTCCTTGGAGTTTTGTTTTGCTTCAACAAACGTGACTTGTAAGTATAAATGAAGTCTTTCTTGTATGCTTCTGATATTTCTGGGCATAACAGAGAAAGCAATAATTCAATATAAGCAAATATTCTGCAGTTAGAAAAAGGTAAACCACCTTGATTGGTCATAAATATTTTTGTGTTTTCCTTGAGAAATCAAGGCCTCTTCTGATACTGGTTTCTTGCCATTAACAATTAGCACAGTAACTAAATGTTCCTGCAAAAATCCTGCAAGGATTGAGTCACTCGCAGAGGCAATCAGCTCCAGTGCAGGCGCATTACACAGCGGAGTAGGAGATCATGGTGTACAAGGGGGTTTCTGAGCTGGGGAAACCCCAGGGGAACGGAGAGACCTGCTAGGAGCTGGCAGCGTGCGTGAGAGTGGCTGATGAGGTGTGGGCAGGGCCAAGAGTAACAGCAGCCAAGTCCCTGCTCCCACAAACAGCAGCCCTAGGGAGTGCTGCAACCAGGGTGGGCAAACTGTGCATGCCATGTCAGCCAGGATGTGGGGCAGCAGTTTGCAAGGAAGGGCACCTCTTCAAAGGAAGAGCATTCCACTGACTGAGTGGGAGACTTGAAGTACACATAAACCAGCAACCAGGCACCATTCTGTGACCATCTGCACAGGTCAAGGGTGCTCATCCTACCTGACCCTCAAGGCAGAATGGTGAGCCTTGTCTGAAAACAAAGGCTGCAGCTCCAGCTGGGAGGTCTGCACCATCTACCTCAGCAGTGGCCAGTGTCTCCACCC